TTTGTTGCATCTCTATCTTTCAAACCAATGGTTAATACATATCCTTTTTGTGTTTCTCCATTTCTCTTATTCCAACTGTCCCTCCTCCGCTTTTCTCTTCTCATTATCAGCCCTCAATAAAAAACACAAATCATAAGCGCGTAGCTTCCAGAGGGATCCTACAAAGAGGGTAAATAGAAAGGAAAAAAATTGCATCATTCAGCCACCATAGATTGCAAGGGTAGGACTAGTGATCTGTTGATTTAGGAATACCTGAAAAGGATAATTGCAAAGTTTTTCTTTTTGTCTTAGAATTTTCGAATAAACCAAGTCTTCTTCGATTCGTTGAGATCTCGATAGATCTACCAAAAACAAGGGATAGAAAAAAAACTCTTCTTTGAAACTCATACTACCGAAGGATCACGGCTTGCCATGTACTGTTGCACCAGCAACACTGATGCCATAATAATTAAAGTTAAAGAAGAATATGGACTTAATTAAAATAAAATTTCTTATTTACATAAAAGAATAAAAGATCTGGACTTAAAAAGGTAAAATATATGTGGTTTTTTCATTTTGCTGTTTGTGTATACGTTATATGATTTTCGGTTATAGATTATACATGTGATGATATGTTCATGTAGATTTGATCGAGAAAGTTGTTAGTGTTGGACAGTTTTACACTAAAGAGGGATTTTGAGAACTTAGTCACATGATAAGGTCAAACTCAGCATTGTAGAACAAGGTGATAAGTTTGGCGAGTCATCGATTTGTTGGAGACTATTCAGGTGTCGATTGGGCAACGATGAGGAAGAGAGAATATACCAAACCATATTACTTTAATTAAGAAAACTGTGTGGTTATCGAATCAGGCAATGATGAAGGAGAAAACATATGCCAAACTAAAACGTTTGATATAAGAAATACAATGTATCGTTTGGAAAACAGATCGTTTGTTTCTACCAAAACCACTGGCTATATGTTGGTGTGTCAAGTGTAACATTCCAGAGTTGTTTTAAAGATTTCAATCACGGATGAGAATGGAAAATCTCAAAGAAAACATGTGAACATTGTCTATGATGATTGTAATAACCATCCTTCACTGATTTTGTCTTCCATAGCAAAGCCTCTAGACAAACAAGAGTCTCTGAAGACAAATCAACAAACAACACTTGGGCCTTCGGATCAAGCCCATATGAAGAAAAGAGAAGAAGCCCAAGTCTATGAGTTACAACGGTCATCTCCTCAAATTGAAGATAAACATCTAGTCAAGAACAGAGAAAGGTTCCACGAAACTTCCTCTTATTGTACGGCTACTACAGCTCATCATACAAATCTTGCCAGTCAACAAATTTGATGCTCTCGCATCTGCTACCATTACATCTTACTGAGGACACCTGTCTCAATCTTATTCAATATTGAAGATGCAGTGGCTGTAGCAAGAACCTGTAGCAGCACCAGATGAGAGAACTTCAGGAGAAGGGCGAACAGGCTGGTGGGCTTTAAGCGTGATGGGCTGTTGGAGTG